AGATTGAGGAAACAGTAACCAATCACATTTTACGGTATGATTTAAAGAAACAGGTACAGCATTGTTACATGATTTATATATTGCCAACCCAACCATTAGATTATATTCCTAACAGTCTTTCTTTACTTAATTTTGTTCTTTTTACAATCTAAGATATTTTCAATAATTTTATCCAGTCCAGCCTCACAAGCAATTAAAGAATATAAGGATGTTAGCCAAAAACAACTAAGAAGAGACATGACAGGGACGTGCAGTCACTAGAGGCAAGGGAGGCGGGGCCTCACCAGTCTCCTCAGGGAAAGTAAAGAATTTTAAATATTTTTTTTTTAAATAATTAAAGCCAGGATAGTTGCTACCAGATTTCAAATCACAGTGGCTTGGTGGCTGCTCTCAGTATTAACTAGGAAGAGGCCAGAGAACTCGGGGCCTCCTTTGCATAAGGAATTTTTCACCTTTTAAAAGTTAAGAAAGAGTTAAAAAGCAAAAAATTCCATATGCAAAGGGGGCACTGATTCTCCTGCCTCCTGACCGGGGAGCAGCGAATCATGCCTTATGAGCACGCTTACGTTGAGCACGGGATTCAAATTTATTGTAATTAAATATGTAATTTTTTTATTGTAGAGTGTGTGTGTGTGTGTGTGTGTGTGTTTCTTCACAGCGGTCCGGTGGGGTCGAAGGAGGCGGGGGGCAAGGCGGCAGAGCGTGGAGGCGGCAGGGACGTTCTCGACGCTGTGTCCCAACAGGCCAGGCGTCTCGCGTTATGTCCGCTATAAACGCGAGACGCCTGGCCTGTTGGAAACAGTAGTGGCGGGGGGGGGGCTGGCTGGCTGGGGAGGGGGAAGCCCTTTAAAGCCCTGCTGCCGCGTCTTCCCAGCAATACTTCCTTTCGGTTCGCGGTTTCCCTTGCTTGCCTTAACTAACTTTAGAGTGCCGGCAGGCAGGACTCGGCCGCCATTCAGCGAAACATGTTTTGCTGAATGGCGGCCAAGCCCATGCCTTTAAGTACCGGCTTGCCTTCCAGGTGTCCCGGCTCCATCTGAGATGCTTCTCGCCGCCGTCGCGCTCCACCGCTTTGCCCCCCCGCCTCCTGTGACAAACAATCCTGCTGCCCTGGCCTGCAGCCAGCGCAGCAGGGAGCGGGGAGGACGAGGAGGAGGAGAAGAGCAGTGAGTCCAGGCAGGGAGCAGGTCAGGCGGGGGGTGGGTGGGCTGGCTGCAGGCCAGAGCAGCAGGATTGTTCGTTGGAGGAGGCGGGGGGGCAAGGCGGTGGAGCGCGATGGCGGCGAGAAGCAACACCCCCACCGCTGTGTCCGACAGGCATCTTGCATTTATGTCCGCCATAAACACGAGATGCCTGTTGGACACAGCGGTGGGGACGTTGCTTCTCGCCGCTGCTGCGGTCTTGCCTCACCAACAGTAACCGTCACCGCACGTCACTGGTGGTACGCAGCATGCAACTCTTAAGATATTAGTTTATCTATTTCATGGAGTAAGAATCCTTCTTACAATGATCTTCTGTCCTATTCTAATTTCATTATGAATTTTCATGAATTCTGCTACTCTTTTCCTCTCCCTCTTTTTCTATCAAATATAAGATAATGTAAGAAGAGATCCTTGTCACTATATGGTGGCCAAAATATCAGAAATCAAGTAGCACCCTTTTCCAACTATATTTATTAAAAGGCACAAGCTGCAACTCACTAAAGGCTGCTACTAGACCTAGTAGGAGACAAAAAATGTTTATGTGGAAAGACAAAGTAACTGCCAATGAATTTATAGTCCTTGAAATAAAATTGTAATGGAGCTTGCCCATTATGGATGCATAGCTTAATGACCATTAAGTGAGATATCCTCACTTAATGACTCCACCTCATGCTCTTCCTGGTGTGACTATTAAACAAGTGCAGAGTGCCTCAGGGGACACTCTTAGGAAGACTACACAGGTTCAGCATTGCCTGCCCCAGGCCTCCCAAGCTTAACCCTACCCCTTGAAGCACCCCATGCTCTAATTGTGGCCGTTTGGGGTCCCCACAGTCCTGCTGTTCGGTAAGTCCTTGGATGGGAAGGAAACTGGCTGCAAGCTGCAACCACCATGATCTCTCCTTGGTTACTAGGTGAGAAAGAAGATGGAGCTTGCAAGCTTCAGTTAATTCACAACTGCTTACAGGCAGCTTAATCTGCCTTGGGCAGGGTCTCAGTGGTGGGAAATGGGTGGATGGTGGCTTCTGCAGTATCCCTGCTATGATTGTAAAGACAAATGATTGTGAGGATGTTGTAGCTACTTAAATTTGAAACTGGATCTTACGCAGCTTTTGGGGAGTTAACATAACTGGTTGCTTAGCAACCAGTCATAAGTTGAGGTATACTACCCATATATTTGCTGCATCTTCTGAATAGCATCAGAGAACATTCAGGCAGTAGGCAAGATTGAACTTGTATTGTATTTGTATTTTGTCCTATACCCTTATCTCAGATGTTTTTAAAAATAATTCAAAAATCTTAAAAATAAAAACTATTATTTTACAATACATATCAATTAGTATCTTCCTCAAGAAATGTGAATAATAACTATCATTCTTCAAAAACACCCATGGAACAATGTTCTGATTTGCATCTTGGCTCTTCAAAGTATTAAAACATATGAATAATGAAGACATATTTCTGGATGTATGATTTCTTTTATTTTCTTTCATATTTAATTTTATACAAGAAGGTACTGCCCCAATTAAATATCTTTCTATGAGAGAGTTTTCTAGGTAACATTATTTTCAGGCGTTATTAAGGGTTAATTGTTTATTGCCGGGTCTTCAAGACTCATGAACTTAATCTTCTCAACTCTGGATTGCTCTAGATATAAACTCATGTAATCCTCTGATTGTTGAATTCAGCTTGCGTTGCTTTTCTTAGTTTTTCTATACCTATTTCTGATTCTGTTTATATTGACTTTTTAAATTTTGTTATTATTTTATTATTGGCCTTAGGGCACAAAAACTGACAATACACAACATTCTTACAATTTTCTCTTCTTTCTTACGCTGCTCTCCTCACCAAGCTGCCAAGCTATAGCAAGAATTGTCTGTCCTTCATTTTCTCGTCACTGATTTTTCTGTTGTCACTAAAAATGTTTTCAAATAGACCGGAGTCTTATAGCATTGTTGCAACCTCTGAATGGCAGGTGAGGAGGGACGGGGGAGGGGGGGGGGAAGACTTAAACCAAAATTTTCAAGCAGATGTCACAGAAGATGATAATTAATTGAAAACTAAAATGCACTTCTCCTCCTAGGTATGAAAGAGAATATGAGCCCAAGGAAGAAATTTGTCATAGATTATTTGAGATTAAGAAACTGTGCCTTTCTACAGTATGATAAGCAAGATTTGACTACATAAAATCAAATTAGGACAATTACTTATATTTTATTTTCAAAAACTGCAGGAAAATCTAACAAATTGTATAAAAATATTTCTATGCTGTGTTGCTTTTGTTTTGTTCTTACCAACATCTTTGGACTTTTCTATTTTCTGTTTTTTTTCAAAAGCAGCTTGTATATCTCTCATATTTGCTTCTAGTTTTTCAGCCAAAGATCTTTGTTTTGCTATGTTCTCATCTATAAAGATCAAGCAGATGTACACATATATACTACATATATAATATACAAATTTGGCTATATGTCAAACAAAACTGTGAATTTAACAAAACAACATACTTTCAAAAATTCTTTTTCAGAATTTGTGGAAACTACAGAAAGATAATTGTAGAGTTAATGGGGATTGAAAAAGACAAAAAAGATCATCTTGTCATCCAAGCAAACTTGAAATCTGTTCCCCTGTCTCTGATCTTCCTTTCTAGGGAAAATTGTTGGGATAGTCATGGTAGAGTAGTTAGAGGCGGGGGTGGGTTTCTAAAAATTGTACTACCAATTTGGTGGGCATGGCTAGATGGTGGGCATGTGACTGAGAGGCCGTGGCCAACTTGACAGCACTCATGCACACTCAGTCAAATGGCCCCTTCACCAAGCCATGCCCACCGAAATGGTGGTGAAAAGTTTTGACCGAGGGGGGGAGGGGCTCCAGCCTTGTTGGAGCTAAGGGAGCGCCTGCAAACAACATGGTAAGAAAAAAAGTTTTTATCCTCCACAGCCTCAGGAACTCTCTGTAGGCTTCAGCAGGGCTGGGAGAAGGGAAAAATGCACCCCCGTTTTGCACAAAAACGAGGACATTTTTCCCTTCCCCTAGTTCTGCTGAAGCCTGCAGAGTGCTTCTAAAGGCTGGGAGAAGGAAAAAATACCTCTGTTTTTCTGGTTAGAGATCAATACAAACTCTCCTGTTTCTGTTTCTAGCTTTCCTCTTGCTCCTGGAATCCTTATACTCTCCATGGATATGACCAGGGTATATTTCTATCTAGATTTCACATAGACAGGGATTTATATTGTTTCTCCAAATAGCTGGCAACTAATGTATTTCTCACTATTACATTGGGACTAGTGGTGGGTTTCAATTTATTTTAGAACCTATTATGTGGGTGTGGCCTGTTTTGTGGGAGTGGCTCAGCAGTCATGTGACCAGGTGGATGTGGCCAACTTGGGAAATGTGGTGAAACTCACTTAACGACACTCTTGCTTAGCAGCCAAAATTTTGGGCTCAATTGTGGTCTCTTTCTTTCTTTCTTTCTTTCTTTCTTTCTTTCTTTCTTTCATATCTCTCTCCCACTTTCTTTTTCTTTCTTTTCTTTCTTTCTTTTTTCCTTCCTTTCTTTCTTTTTTTCTCTCTTTCTCTTTCTGTCACTTTCTGTCTCTCTGTGTCTGTCTCTCTCTCTCTGTATCTTTCTGTCTGTCTCTCTTTCCTCCCTTCCCCATCTGTCACTCTGTGTGTGTGTGTATCTGTCTGTCTGTCCCTTCCTCCCTCCCTCCCTTCCCCCTCTGTCTCTCCCTCTGTGTGTCTGTCTGTTTCTCTCTGATTCACTATCTCCCTCCCGCTCTTTCTGTCTCTCTCTGTGCCTCTCTCTGTCAGTCTCTCTCTCTCACTCACTCACACATATACACATACAGACACACATACTGTGGTCATCTTGTATTCCAATCACAGGTTAAAAGTACCTGGCAGCGGCGTTTTTCTCTTTGGGGACAGGTCCTCTTCAGAAGGATGAGGCTCCGCTGGTCGCCCTCCCATTCCTTGTCTTCCAGCTGCAGCTCCACGCCATGGAAAACATAGGTGGGCGCATGCAAGAAAGCCCCCCCCCCCAACTGCCTGAACGTTTGAATGAAAGAGGCTGCAAGCTCCTTTGCCCTTGGCTATGCGATCTCCTTTAGTTTTCTGCTGCCCGAATGCGTGAATGAGACAGACTGAGGATGAAAGGCGTCGGGTTGTGGGGAGTGAGCCAAGAGTTCCAACCGGTTCTAAACAGCATGGTAGATTTGTAGAACTTCTTCTACTGAACCGGCAGGAACCCACCCTTGATTGGAACCTTTTCTTAGAAGGCTGATATCTACTTGGAACATATACCTGGTACTCCTCTCTAAAATCTTTTGAACTGTATCTATTCCATTTCTTTAAGATAGCCCTAAAGAGCTTGCTTGTGACACCCTATATTTTAAAAGAAACCCTTAAAAAATCCAAAAAATGATAAACAGAAATAATAACATTGAATTTACCAGCCGTATCTTGCCAAACAACGCTTTTTTGTTGCAGATTTTCAATACTTGATTGCAGATATGAAAACAAATGTTTTCTTTGTTGGAGAAATTCTTTTAGTGCTTCTTTTTGCCCTAAGAATAAAAGAACAATTATCACTTAAATTCACATGATTTGTGTTGGTAGTAATATTATGTAGGAATATAAGAGCCATGTTTACCACTGTTACATTAAACTTTTTACTCCTAGTTAAAAAAAGCTTGTTCCCTCAACTAATTCTACTTTTCATCCTTTATTGCACAGTATGGAACTCCTTCAGCAAAACTAAGCATTTTTAGATGTAAAATATGTTATTTTCCTTCCCCCTTTTAAATTAATCCTCAAGATTTTTTAAAAGTTTCTATTAAAATGAAGGGTTTTACGAGCAAGTGACTGTCACTTTGTAATTCTAAAAATAACAAACATTCATACAAGAAAAGCCTTCATACTTCACTAAGTTAAAGTGACATATTTTCATGGCTTACATTCTACAAAGACCACCTAATAATACTCCAAATTATCTTTTCAATCATTTTTCAAATGAAAAAGCTAAAACAATTTTTAGGGGTCATTATTTCATCACAGTACTAATACTAAATCAGTGTGTATGTGTTGGAGGTGGGTTCCAATTTATGGACATGGTCCGAAACTAATTCAAGATTAAGGCTTAAAATGCATGCTAAAAAAAAATTGATTGCTAGATTGAACTTGATAGTTACTGGATTCATTTTTATACTTTAATTCAAATACTGGTACTCCTTTACTTACAACAGTTCAATTTAGTGACTGTTCAAAGCTACACTGGCACTGAAAAAGTGATTTACGATTTAATTATGACCGTTGCAGAATCCCCATGGTTACTGATCAAAATTTGGACACTTGGCAACTGGCTCATATTTATGAGAGTTGCAGTGTCCTGGGGTCATGTGATCACCTTTTGTGACCTTCTAACAAACAAAGTCAATGGGAAAAGCAGATCCACTTAACAATCATGTTACTAACTTAATACCTGCAGGGATTTACTTAACAACTGTGGCAAGAAAGGTCGTAAAATAGAGCAAGAGTCACTTAACAATTGTCTTGCTTAGTAACAGATATTTTGTGCCAGTTGTGATTGTAAGTCAAGGACTACCGCTAACTTAATATTATAGCACTGTTCGTACTTACTCTCAAGCATATTTTCTATTGGAGGCTCTTTGGGATAAAGTAAATGACATCTATCAAATGAACTCTTTCTTCTTTCTTGTAGATTGTACACTTTCCGTTCTAGATTACAATAAATGACAATAAAAGAAACAATGTATTTAAGATACTTTTTCACAATATAATTTTCTTAAATAAATAAATATTTTTTAACTAAATAGCTTGTGACTGTATAGGTTATTCTCTAAAGAACTTTTCTTTCATAATGAAACATTGTACATGCTTCAGGACTTAATTCTGTACTTACTGATAACATCCAGCTGATTATATGGAAGAGTTCCCATTTCTTCCAGTTCATAACATTTTGATTCTAGTGCTGAAAACACTAGCAGCTCATGTATTTCTCTCTCTAGAAATTTAGAAATGCACATATTCAATTTCTGGTTAAAATATTGCATTTAAAAGTTACTTTTAACTGAGAATATACTGCATGAATAACATGAATTGTTGTGGAAGTAAGAAAAAAACTCCCTATTTGTAAGAACAATCATTAAAAACATCCATTTGCATATATGATTGCAGATAGGAAAGTGCTCTATTCATAGGAATGGAGAAGAATGTACTTTTACCCTTCTAGTCCAAGAGGTAGAAGAGTGTGGAATGAAACAGTGAGCACATTGTTATTCTCAGTGGTGGGATGCTGGTGATATAACAACTGGTTCGGTGAGTGCATGATTGCTTTGCGTGCATGCACAGCACTGGAAATGAGCATTTAGAAGCTCAGCTGCTTACCTTCCAAGTCAGCAACTGTAAGTAAAACAGCTGGGGGCAGGAGTCAGCTGTGCCGCACGATTGAGATAAGCTAGAAAGCAGGAAATACAGGACAGGATAGAGCAGGGGTGGGTGGGTAGGCCCAGCTCATTGTTGGAGCAAACGGGTTCGTAATGTTTCCTTCCTTCCTTCATGTTTATTAACCTAACTCTTTTTTGGAATTATATTGCCCACATTACAATTGATAGCTCAATGGTAGCAAAGCTGCAACTCTGAAACTGGCACAGTTTTCATAACATAGTGCTATTTGTCATTGAATTACTTTTGTTTGAACTGAGGAATATAATAATCATACCTCAGAATAAAAAGCTCACTAGCTCTTTGGGGTTATCTTAAAGAAATGTAATAGATACAGTTCAAAAGATTTTAGAGGCGAGTCCCAAGTATATTTTCCAAGTAGGCATCAGCCTTCTAAGGAAAGGTCCAGCGTGACCAGTGACGGGGGGGGGGGGGACTTTTACTTTTAATCAGGTGAAAGCCACAGAAAATTTCAGAGTTGGCTTTCACCAGTTGTGCCAATATGAAGTATCCAATAAACTCTTCTTTGAGGAACCTGCCTGTCTCAGAATTCTGTTTTCTATGGGTGCATTACTTGGAACACTGACAAATAGCACTATGTTATGAAAGTTGTGCCAGTTCCAGAGTTGTAGCTTTGCTATCATTGAGCTGCCAATTGTAATGTGGACAATATAATTCCAAAGAAGAATTAGTCTGAACTGAATGAGATCACAACTTTCAGGACAGAGGTCATCATGCAACATCTAGAAGCCATAGAACTTCCATAAATAGAACTGAAAATATGAATCAAATATGTAGATGACACCTTAACCATAATAAAAAGGAGCAATTAGAGAATATCCACAAAGCTATCAATGATGTTTTTAAAGGAATCCAGTTTACTAAAGAAGAAGGGGAAAAAAACTTGCTACTCTTCCTGGACATCCTGATCAGCAGAAACCACAATGGCAAACTAGAAATGCAGGTTTGCAGAAAAACCATCCATAATAACCAGATGCTGAACTACCAAAGCAACAACCCAATCTCCCTCAAGATAAGCTGTGTAAGGGCTTTAATTAGATAAGCCCAAATACACTGTAGCAACTCAGAATAGCAGAAAAAGGAAATAGAGGATAATAATAATGTTTCAATTTAAGGCAGCTGTGAAGCCATCATGTGAATTGATGGCTCAGAACTAGCAGAGACAATATGCTGAACCATCTGTATGGTGGAAGTTTAAGTCTAAAAAATGTAGACATAACTCGATTCCCCATTCTTCTTCTCCACCAGGAAAAATCCTAAATAAAATTCATAAAGCAGATTAGACTTGTGAATATGTTTGGTTGCTTCTTCTGCAGGAGGTATGCAAGTAAGGAGACTGATAAATAAATCAGATATAATCACATAAGTCTGAAAAATGATGGATAAAATGCCAAATAATGGTGTTTATTTAGAGCCAGATATTGTTGTAGTACTTGAAAGTAAATACTTGAGGGACTGAGAACCAAGCCCAAGAAAATGTGTGCTGGAGGTACACAGAAAAAAAAAAATTATCTACAGCTAGAGAAGTTCTGATAGAGGCTCTGCCCATACAGAGGCAACACCATAAGAACACTGTACAGAGTTCACAAAGAAAAATGATTTGATTAAAAATGAAATACAATTGAAAGTTCGGATATTAAATATACATATATACATTTAAGGTAAACACTGTTCCACATCATAATCAGTCTAAAAGATATTGCATTACTAATATATTGCTACATGCTAAGTTCATAATGAAACAATCAGTAATGATTTTGCTAGAATTCTGTCTGACAAACATTTTCACACCTGGGATTTATAATGCTCTTACCTCTCCTCCACTCAAACAGCATCAATGAATAAGAGTTATACTTTTTTTTAAAAACTGCAGAAAATATATTAGATTATGTCAATGTTTTTTCTAGATCCGTTAAAATTAATAGATTACCCTACAATTTTATTTTAAACACTTACCATCAGATCTTTTTGTCAAACCTTTTTCTAAATCAAAGTTTTGTGCTTGCTCCATATCTTGAATAATTTCCGCCAGATTGTCAAACAATATTATTTTCTTCTCAGCTAATAGCTGAATTATCTGTTCTATATAAAAGGAGCATCCAGGTTACTATTAAAAATTTTAGAAATGTACTCCGTAAAAATAGACTGGAAGGCAATATCTAGAGGTTAGAATGTAATATATTAAAAACAATTTAAATAAAACACATTAAACTAGTAATATCATAAGTAATGTTTATAAAAACACCAACAATTCAAGAGTAGCAATGCATCACTCAAATGCTGATTGAGCAATCAGAAATTTGAGAAAAGTGTAAGATTTTATAATAGCTGAAACAAGCATCTGTGGTAGCAAAAGAGCTTCTAAGTAGATCAGAAGAAGTTTGCTGGATCCTTTTGTCATATAGTGATACAGAAATGGCAATACAGAAATGGAGAAAGATTTGAAATGCCAGTTCTAATTCTAGCTATATTATGTATAGTGAGAGACAGAAACCAGAGAAAGAATGGAGGCAATTTATTTTATCAATTCCTAATTCTCCCTGCAGATGTTTGCAGAAAACTGCAACAGAATAATTGGAGGACCCTTATGAAAAAGGAAATATTAATCCCCTTTCATCAAGACTCAAATTAAAAATAATTAAAGTATGATTCCTGCTTTCCTAGGCTACAAGGGGAATTAACTATTGTTGGATGCTTTCCCACACCAAACTAAGAATTATTTTTGTCATCATCAGTACTATTTGTGAATCAAAAATGTACTAAAGATTTTTCATCTTAAACAAAATACATTTCTGATAAAACAGAAAAGTGCCTAGCATATTATCATACTAAAAATTAATTACTTACCATTATCTGGCTGAGTAACTGCAGCGGCCTGCAAAAGTTTCAAATCTTTCAGATTTAATTCCATATTGTCCAAATACAACTTTCTCTTCTCAGATAATGCTTGTATTTCTGTAAAAGGAAATATTTTAAAATTATTAGCCTGAAGCTAATAATACCATGCTATCATCTTACCAGGAAGTTTATTTACTGACCGATTGAGGTGGGAGTCCTGCAGGAAGGCAGGATTTTATCTTACTTAATTCTTATTTCTGATATTTTCAATTCTTTTCCTAGCAGACATAAATCTATTGCATCTATGAGGAGGCCTACAATCAATGTAAAAAAAAACCAAAGAAAAATAAGCCAATAACATAACAATGGTACTTTCTTTTAAAAGTAAGATACATGCCTTCTTCAAGTAAATATGCAACATTCTTTTCCTAGTTTGGAATAAAAACCAGCTACAACTGAAAGCCAATAATTAATACAGTTGATCAGATATCTTGAGCAATATGTTTTAAATGAGATTCCAGACTAGATTTCTATTTTACTCTGGAACAAATGAAATTTACTAAGAAAAAGTCAACAGCTGCAATCTTGTTCTTCCAAAGGCAACCTCAGCAGAGGCATAAGCATAAATCTTGCATTGTCTGTAGAAGCTGTAGAACTGGAAGATGTCAGCACCATGGCTGAGGGTGAATTTGAATCTAGATCCCCTTCCTTCCCTCTTCCAGTCCAATATTTTAACCAATACACTACTCTGTGTGTAGCCAAACTATTATAGAGAATTAATATTCAGAATTCTCAGTGGGAATAAAAGGGTCTTATTTTGTGTATTTCTAATTTTTTAATGACCAAGTCAGATAAAAGTGGGAGAAGGCAGGATATGAATTCATACTGGAATGAAAAGAAAGAAAAAAGCATTGAAATGCTTTATTTCTTGTTCTTTCTTTCTCCTATTTTTTGCTTTGGGCATGGCTTTTTTCTTTATTTTTGTTTCTTTTAAATCACATTTAAAATTATTGTCAGAAAAAAAAGATGGAGAAAACAAATTGTCCTTAAATTGAAATTCAATTTCCCAATCAGTAGGCATGCCAAACATTTGATAAAGTGTTATACGACTTATACATTATTTATATATTGGATTTATATTTCATTTTTCTATTTGTTTAAGGCAGTTGCCATCATTTAACATTTAACAATGAATAAACATAACAATAATATAAACAATTTATACAAAATTAATGAAACAATTGCATCTTTACTATTTTTCAAAATACTAGAAGAGGAGTGAAATCTCCTCAAAAAGTATTCCATATTCTGGGAGATAAGATAATGCCTCACAAGATAATACCAAATAGATAAGACTTAGAAGTATCTTTAAAAATACATTTGCTAGCTAAATAATCTGAGAACTTTATATCAGGATGGACATTTACAACCTTAACTGTTGGCACATCACTTGAAATGATTCCTCACAGGCAGTTTGCTACTAGCACATATCTTTCAGTACAAACACTTTCTTTATCTGCTCCCTTTAGCTCCAGTTATTTGCATTTTGCTATTCCCAAACACTTTACAGTAATAAGAAAGAATGTAGCCAAGGGTACATTCAAGGGTAATTGCAACTAAGGTAAGGGACAGGTGTACCTGGTGTAACCATTTGAACTAGCAGTAATTTGTAAATGCCTACTTCTTTACAGTGGGTGTTGTGGACTCAAGATTAAGGTGCGGTGCACTCCCAGAATGTGGGCCCCTCTATCTCACATAATGCAACCCTATCCACCCAAAGTAGCATTTCAATCCCTAGGTACATCACCTTTGTATTAACTGGATTTAATTTCAGTTTATTTTATCAAGCAGTTGATTAGCAGTTGGGAGGGCAATATATGTATATGTGTTTTTGTCTTTTATCCTTTTTAATGTACATTTTTAAAATGTTTTATTCATTTTTGATATTTTTTGTAAAAGAAATTAATTTGCATTTTAATTTTCTAAATAAAATAAAAATTAAAAAAAGAAAATACTTCTACTTTTAAGTGGAATACAAGATTTAAAATATAGAAAGAAATCAAATTAAGTGGTTAATCAGCTAGCCATTGGAATAATTTTATGAAAAGGAGTTGCTTAAGGAACATTTAGAGGATTTCCATAATACTTCTAGAAAATACATTTTCAATAGTGAGGAAATTTAGACAAAACAAAAACAAGATTTCAGTTTTAATAGAATAGTGTATATAGATGATATTCTTTCATGCCTGAGACAGATAAAAAGGTTCATTTGTGAAGCCCCATGAATGATAAAAAATTTAATTCTGTACTTACCATAGGGTGTTAATAGCTCAGTTCTGCTTGATTTAAGATTCTCTACATTTTGAATGTTTTGTACAATTCCCTCTAAACCTATAGACAATAGCCTTCTTTGTTCATTGAATTCTTGTATCTTTTGCTCTAAAAATGAAATATATTTCATGTCAAACACAAAAGATGAAAATAGGAGGGTTACCTTTTGAAAAGGAACATTATAAATAGTTTTACAGGCTTGAGAAAATTTGAGCATTTTAAAATACCCTTGACAACGAGGAAACTAAAAATAATTAGCTATGTTCTTTCTCTTCAGATACACCAGAAGAAAAACAATAAAATATACTAACTACAATATCTATGATTCACATAGAAATAGACTTCTGGGATTGTCACCAGGGCAGATATATAAATTTAGAATAAATGTGGTTGTATTTTACACTATAATTAACTATGTCTGACTGTTAAGCATTATAAGGTCATGCTAATGTCTACCAGCTTGATAGCCACACTAAGCCAGCATTTCCCAATCTTTGCGACTTTGCGGACCGGGCGAGGGAGGGCATGAGCGGTGGGTGAGCACATGTACACAAACAGCTTGATTTGTGCTAGCAGCAGGCACACATGCCCACCACTTGCACAAATGGAGCTGCATATTTACATCTGCATACTTTCGCAATTGGAGTTGCATGCATGCACTCGCCCACCACCTCTGTGGCCCGGTTCGGAGTAGACCATAGCCCAACACTGGATCATGGCCTGGTGATTGGGGACCCCTGCATTAGGCTATATATGGCATGAGAGGTGCATATTCCAAAAGAAAGTAGGGCAAGGAATCATCTTTAAGAAAGTTCAAGGATTTAAAGGTCTTCACACCTACAAGACTTTAAGTATCCATTGAAATTCCCTCCAACCTTAAAACATCAAATAAGAGTCCACAATTTTAATCTTGTCTACTCCTGGGCTATTCTGCGGGCTATAAAAGAGGATCTGGAGCCCACCTATAGGACCTGGGCTATAGTGTCTCGAGGAAGGAGATAGGGTCTTTGGGGTTGTGAGGCAGCTCCCTCTGAACTACTTTTATATCTCTCTTGGTCAATCAGGCCATCCAAGGTATTAATTGTGCTTGAGTTCAGACAATGGTGAATTCATCCTTGAGTAATAAGATTGTGCCTCCTGCCTTCAAAGGGGCAGTAGCATATTTCCTGCTCAAATCATTACCAAATCACCAGTATTGGAAATTTCCATCAGGTTTACAGCCACCTCTTTTCAGAGAGTAAAGAAGATTATATCTTCCTTCCCTGAAGGAAACAAATTATATGGATCCTTTTCAGTTGATTCCAGATCAATATAAAGCATTTGGTTATAAGTTGCCCAGAATTGCCTTTAGGTGAAACAAGTAGATAGGTAGATAGGTGGATAGAGGGGTGGGTGGGTGGATAGATGGATGGATGGATTGATTGATTGATTGGTGGGTGGGTGGGTATGTTGGTGGAAGAATGGATAGAAAGATAGGTAGGTAGGTAGGTAGGTAAGTAAGTAAGTAGGTAGTAGGTAGGTAGGTACGGAGGTAGTTGGTAGAGCATTGATTATCCTTGTAGATCAATGCTGTGGTAGGCTACACACTTCAGTGTATCCATGCAATTTGTCTGTTCTACAAAGTTCATTGGTTTCCAATGGACTTCCAAATACAATTAGAGGTGCTCGGTATCACTGGTAAATACTTATATTAAGAAGTTTATTTATTAAGTTATTAGTTATTTACAGAACCACCTCTTCCCAGTTACCTCTGTTTTTCCTATAAGATAAGCTAAGGTGTTTTTGCTTCAGGTCTCACTAAATAAACAAATTTGTGACTTCTCTGTCATTATCTTTAGCTCCTGCCTCCTCCTGTAGCGGGCGCATTTTAGAGGCTTTTTTAAAAAGTTAAGCACCAAGCAGTCATCCATGGTGACTCTGGCAGCAACTAGCTCAGCCTGACCTCAGCTCTTACCTTTTTCCTTTTACATTTTTCTTTTCTTTTCATGATGACATTGGTGAGGTTCTGCCTCCCCTGCCTCCACGTCCCTGCTGGAATACCATTCTACCTGAAGTGTTTAGGACACTAATCTTGCCTTCTTTTAGATAAACTCTAAAAACTTTTTTTTAAAACAAGCCAGAGGCCACATTTGTTTATGATCCCAATTGGTGGAAAATAGATTGGTATTTAAGTGCATCTCTCATCAATGTTCTGTATTGGTAGGAAATACCAACTTAGAACCATGCATACACCATCCATCTATCCATTCATCCATGATGTGTCTTTATTCTGCACACTGCCTAAAACACTGAGTTTGGTAGCTTATGAAACTAAACAAGTAAATCCTCCTTTAACATATATAATACTTTACTATAATAATAACAGAAAAAAAACATTTTTTCACAGTTTCATAGTTATTGTATATCCTACAAAAGGCATTCTGATAAGGAATTGGGAATAAAAGTGAGTTAAAGCTAGATTGGTGGCGACTTGAAATTCACAGCCTCCTTGTTCACACAGCAAAGTTATATCTATATTCACCTAGTTAATCTCAAACTGGCAGTTATTTTCCTTCTTTTTTTCTAGTGAATACAAAAAAAAAGAGCAGCTATGAAATAGGAAAGGACAACATAGACGCAGTCCTATAAATTTTAGTTTTAAAGGTCAAGAGCCATTGAAAAATGCCAGGAGAAAAACTACATTTTTCCATTTTCCAGACAACAAAGCACTAGTAGTAGTATTGGTATTTTTCTTCATTTTAGGATTGATCTGTAAAACTGCTTTTTAAATACAAAGAAATGCACCCAAGTGTAATAGTAAATATTTATGTGCTCTCTCTCTCACACACACACATATACCTTGAAGTCAATCTTGACTCCTGATCATTGTCTGGACCGTGGCACGACATAACTGCAAACGTCAAAAGCGCGCTGACAACACCGTGGCGCTAAAACCGCGATGTCAAAAGCGCACCGACAACAGCGCACCGACAGAAGCGCGATTTAACTTAAGGTAAGGTTTAGGGTTAGGTTTAGGTTTAGGGTTAGGGTTAGGTTTAGGGTTAGGGTTAGGTTTAGGGTAGGTTTAGCGTTGTTTAGGGTTAGGTTTAGGGTTAGGTTTAGGGTAGGTTTAGGGTAGGTTTAGCGTTAGGTTTAGGGTTAGGGTTATTTTTAGGGTTATGTTACAGCGCGCTTCTGTCGGCGCGCTGTTGTCGCCGCGCTGTTGTTGCGCGGTTTTGACGGTGCGGTTTTGTCACCGCGCTTTAGTCACACGCGCTTTAGTCTACCGTGATTTTGTGGTGGAACCTGTCTGGACAAGTTGCCACAGTTTTCTTGGCAACATTTTTGGAAATTGTTTGTTGCTGCCTCCTTCCTAAGGCTCAGAAATTGTGGGGGGCTTTTTTGTTCAAGGTCTTCTAAAATGGGATTAGAATTCCCATTTGCTGATTTCAAGCCTAATTCCTTAACCACTATATCAAAATGGCTTTTGATAGAATTAATTATTGTAGTAATATTTTAGCCCTTTTGAATAATAAAAATAATGTTGAGATAGTTATTTTTGTCATTTATAGCTATGAATAATTACTACAACTTATTCATTATTATATCTTACAAAAGACTTACCATTAATACTGCCTGGTTGATCAGCTGCAAGAGCCTGTGCTTGCTTTAAGTCTTTCAAATTTGATGACAACTTTTCTAATAACAATCCTTTTTGTTCACATAGTTGTTCCAAAAACTGTTCTGGAAAAAAATAATTTCAGAATACTAGTTTTAGTCCTTGAAAAATATATTGGTTTTAGCTACAAGCTTTCTCTATTTTAGAAAATATATCTTGTCAAATAACCTTTCTCTAGATGAGAGATTTTTATGAGCTTTTAAATAAGTTATTTTCTAGCCAATTTTCAACCTTCCCTCCTATCATCCTGTAGTTGTTAATACTTCACGCACACAAACCCACACATCAACTTACAAATTTGTCAGGTTCAAATTTGATTGGAAACCTTTAAAAATTAAATGAAATTTTAAAAATTCAAAAATGTAGATATTTTGTCTTTCTCTTTTCACGGATTAAATTACCATTAAATCTAGAATCATTTTGCTAGTTTTACAAAAGAAGGATGAGACACAAAGCATGTGGAAGATATTACATGGATTTCTTATAAAAACACATTAAATTTATTCTATACTTACTTTTGGATTTTTTAACTTTTTCTTTAGTACTATCTTGCATGTCTTGTAAATCTTGAATAACTGCTTCAAGACCAGCAACCAAAAGCTTTCTTTCATTTGTGAGATTAATTACTTTTTGTTCTGCAAAAAATATTTTAGCAAAAATAGAAATATACTAATATACACAGTTTGAAAATGCCAGAGAATTAAGATTCTCCACGAAAATCAAGTAGATAGATAATCTTCTATAGTATACTAGTTTTAGAATATCCTGTAGTGTGTGATCAGAATGTAATTTTGGACTTGGAGATGCAATTAGTGAGATAATAATGCACAATGAGGATTAAATTAAAGTCAATGCAAAATAGCAAGGAGAAGGGAGTTTAGTATTACCAAATTGGGAATTATTCACATTAGCAGTAACAATAACATGGGTGAAAGATTGGATAGAGCTAAAGAACAAAATAATTTTGACTTTAGAAGGCCATGATTTGCAAGCAGGTTGCATACATTCCTATGGGATGATAAAAATAAAAGACTTCTGGGGCGGGACCTTGCTGATGGCGGTAGCTTAACGAGCTGCCGCCGGGTTCCTGGCTGCGTTATCTGCCTAAATACCTGGTAGATAAACTCANGTCACACGCGCTTTAGTCTACCGCGGTTTTGTGGTGGAACCAGTCATCATCATAATCACCATTTGATTGATGATGTTGGTCATCAGAGGTTGACTTATGTCTAAGCATCCTGAATATTCTGACCACTGAGTGACTTTGAGTCCTGAATCAAAAACCATAAGGGTCTGATCAGTAAGGTACAGATGTTACAAGGGACAAAGTGAATCCCATGTTACAGATACAGAAACCCGGTGGCTAGATTTGACTTGAAAACAGCCTCCGCCACTGAATCTGATGTCAGCAGGTTAGCTTAGAACATATTTTCTCATCTGGCCAATCTTCATGTGGAGTTGTGGTCTGCACATCTAGATGTTATTCAAGTCGGCGGACAGCTGAGTTGAAATACAGGGACACAAAGATTTTCTTTCCCAGCTTGGACAGTATCTTGTGTTTCATCTGTTTCTTGCCTCTTCAAACAAATGGATGTCACAAAGCCACCACAACCACGTATGTGCCTTGCAAGTCGAGCCACATGTGCAGTTTCTTTTAGGATAAAAGGATTTTTTTCCCCTCTGTGTCTGCTCAATGATCACTGAAAGCACTCTTTTTTTATTTAGCAGCATGTTGTCTTGCTCAGGGTCCATTGGGAAAAGATTGTAAATAAATGAAATATCTAGGATTGGAGTCAAGATAAATTATTAATTATTCTGGAAAAGATAAAAAGCTGCCTCACCCGGAGCCAGATTTGCTCAGTGGTAGTACTCCTGCTTTGTAAGGAGGATACGCCATATTTACCCCCTGAATGTGCTCTGAAAAAAAATCTTATAGCACAAATTTTGAATATTCCGTGCCCAAAGCATTGGGAAGTTCCTATTGGGCAGAATAAACAGTACCAGGATTGATCAGCCAGTACTGTAGCGTGACATGAGGTAAAGTAATTTGTTATATTCACTGTGTCTCTTTCTACTTTTATACTTTAGGACTGGCTTCAGTATCCCAAGGTTTTTTCCCTTTACAATTTCCTTATTTTTACAATCATCATTGCAATCCTTTACTTTGTGCAATTCAACAATTCCCTCAACAGTTCAATATTGCCTTCTTCAGCTAAGGAATAATATATTTTTTAATTCTTTTTTTCCCAGAGAACATTTGGTCTCAGTCTGTTTTTGATATATAAAAAGACCTAAGTGCATACATTAATAGTCTCACTGGGTTACATTAAATGAGCATCTTCTAATATATTCTTTCTTGGTAAATAAGTAGGTCATATTTCAGGCAGCCTTCTTTTTCTTCTCACAATAAACATTAATTACTCAAACTTATGTTGTTTATCAAAGGTTCCTTTTTTTTTTCTATTTTGTATGAAACAGTTTGAAAAGATTCTCTTCTTTTAAGTAACTAAAGAGTCTTGTCAGAAGACCCAGAGGAGATGACATAACTTCCCTTGACACCTCATACTTCAAATAGAATGACTTCTGATTTGGAAGGAAGCCAGATTTGTAAATTGAAATGTTCTCTGTATAATAAATTTACACTAAGAGAAAGGGACTCGAGAGTTAGGAGATTTCAGTAAAAGTATCTGACACATTCTACTTGGCAAATGATCACAGAACATTTTATTCTTAAAGGCAACTTCTACTGTGACTGAATATTTAAAAATATTGGACAGGGAAAAACAAGCAAAAACCCCTCAAAACCCTGTAGATAAAAATGTCCAAACAAACTTAGTGTGTTCAAGCAATGCCTTAAAATATAGTTGAAGATGTCTGTGGGGAGACGATCTAAGATGAAACAAGTGATGAAATACAGAAATTGTCATGCAGAGACCGACGTTGCTGAATGTCATCTCTCTGCTGGCAGAAGGATGAAATTCTACTATCTTCTTTGTCTCATTTCTCTTGCTGTTTTCTGCCCACTGCTTTTATCTCTTGCCTTTATATAAGGAACGTCACTATCAAAACACAGTTTGAAAGGTCTTCAGAGAGAGAAATATTGTAAGCAGGGTCTTCTTGCACAATTACACAAAAGCAATATCCATCACTGGTGGTATACGCGTCTACTTCATACACAATAGCTGGTTCTAAGCACACTACTGCTTTCACTGAAGCAAGAGTGGCACTAGTGAGGGGTATGGACTATAGCTTTGAAGGCCCTCAGAGAAAAACATTTAATCTGCCATCTGCTCTGGGGAGCCCTAGCTGTCAATCACAGAAGGGAAGCAACCAACCAATTTTTCAGGGATGGCTGCCAATGTGTCATTGAGGAATCTCAAGGGGTGTAGTGTTTAGATGGGTGGTAAAAATCATCACCAAAGATAACCGTGGAAACATTTTGGTTGTAGAAATTGAGGTATAGACGCAAGTTGTTCATTTGACCACCAGGACAGGTTGTAAAGATAATTTATAACCCAGATTCAGTTTTTTAAAAAATTCCTTCAGAAGCCAGCACTGTTGTATTCATGCACAGTAAATTAAATCCACTACTATTATCTAGGACAGTGTTTTTCAACCACTGTGCCGCGGCACACTAGTGTGCCGTGACATAGTGTAAGGTGTGCCGTGGGAAAAACACTTTATATATAG